TAAAAACAAAGTTAGCATTAAATGAAAATAAATAAATATAAATAACTAAATTATATGTGACATTACCTTGTTTCTTCATTAACCTTAAAATTCTTTTCAACTAATAGAGTAGATTTTCCTTTTCTTTTCGATAATCGTTCTGTGATGGCCAACCCGACAACTCCACCACCAATGACTAAGTAATCTATAGAAGCATCGAAAGGTTGGGATGGACTAAAACTCGAGCCAGAATGATAATTAGATTTAGTAGATAAGGATGAAATACAAATATTTTTTGAAAAGAGGCAAGGTATTGGATGTGAGAAAAGCCGTATTTTAAATGACAATGCATTTGAACGTGAGAGAATTATCATTTTTTTTTTTTAATAAGATACTTTTTAAGTGCTTGCAATAGAGATCTTTAATGTTTAGTGATACTTTCTCAAGAATCTTAATTTATGTCGGAAAATAAGGTTTAAGTAGTAGAAAATATTCCAACAGAATGAAATTTACATATTAAGATAAATGAGGTATCGAATGCATGGGTTTATTGTCAAAAAATTTTTTTAGTTAGTACGTAGAAATGTTATTATTATGGTTAGTAAATTTCTTGCCTTTTATTCCTTTTATTCGTGGTTTATCAAAATTTTATAAAAACTTTCTAATTAGCCTACGTGTTTTGTTAAAAAATTTTTTTTTTTAAAATGAATATATAATTCAGCGAAATATATTGATCGATAACAGATAAATTGTATTTTTATTTGTAACCTAATACGTATTACATTAAATGATTTATATTGAAGTTTCTATATACTGTTATATATATAAATATATATATGTATTTTATACCTTTTTTGCTATATTTGATTATTTAGCCTTTACCAGGACGTTGGTTTTTTTTTTAATTATTGCCAGGGTGAACCAAAAAAAAATGATTTGAAATAATTTGATATAATTTGAAATAATTTTAAAAGATTTATCTGATAAAAAAAAATCTTGAAATTTTCACCTTTTTCTATTTCCATGGTACAGTATTTGTTTACGAAAATTTTAAATTCATTCTTCAAAACTTTTTTGTTTACAAAATAGCATCTCTTTGTGTAAACTAGTAAGAGGTTTTTATCATAAACAACACATGATACTGTCTAAGTATTTTTTTACTAATCAAATGATCAAAGTATCTTACGTATCTTATGTAATAAACTTGAGTGAACAGGTATCAATGATTTATAGAGCACCTTTCGTGTAATACGTATTAGTTGCATTTCAATTCAGTCATCTGATGATAATGTCACATTGAATGTCACTACCGATTTTTTCCGAAATTCAAGATTTAAAAAAAAGACGGGGATAAAAACTGGAGTTCCGATTCTGAATTTGTTCATGAATGTTTCTTTTTTTAATCAGGCTTGTTACCCATGTAACTGAAATCATGCTAATCATTGCTAGCAATCAAGCATTTAATCAAGAATCGGATATATTAAGAAAGATTATGATATCCCCCTTATTATTATTATTATATAAGAAGATAGTGCGGTTTCACGGTTGACAGTTACACCAAAAGACGTTTTCATTTAATAAGTATAAAAAAAATTAGATTTCAAATTGGAAACAGCATATTTTCAATACTATATATGCTAATAATTAAAACCTTATTTTCTTATCCATGCAACCTGCATATCACAGAGCCGTCCCACATACCTTCTCTATCAATCTAATAGCTTCAAAATTTGAATTTAAAAAATAACCATAAAAGAAATCAGAGAAAACTATACAGTATATGTAATCACGCGTTTATATTTCAATTTGATGTGTTAAATTGATCAGTCTTGAATCAATACAATAAAGTATAAGATCTTCATTCATTATTAGTACATGCTCGTGTATAACCTGCTTCGTTCAAGTTATTTAATATGTATCCATCGGAGATACGTAAAAATAGATGCGGAGAACCTCAAGTTATAAAATCAACATTTCCATATAGTTCTGCGTATAATCTTATTCTAGACTTTTCGATAATTTCCCAGCATCTTTCACTTTTTTCATGAAAATAATAGGGCAAGATTTTCAAAATCAGGTGTAAAATCTGTCAATCACGCATATTACAGCAAATATTATATTCGACCTTAACAATGAGTTAGGTATGTTCTATATGCGCTTCTCGTCTTAAGTGAAGATCAAGTTTTATTCCGGATAGGCTAAACCTTTTCCATCTGAATCAAAAAAAGTTTCATATTCTTTGTCACAAACCTTATTTTAAATAGAAAAAACGCTTCATACGTAGCAATATGGGTAGATGGATATTAGGAAATATGTATTAATAGTTTTAACAAATTATATCATCTTGAAATAAAATCATACTTACCAAACAAAAAAAAAAAAAACAAAGAAAAACGTGATATTTTTTTTGGTGATTTTACATATAATCAATAAAATTTAGCCAAATAAAAACATATATCTAATTCCTCTTTCAACTTCAAATTAGATGAATCATTTCACGATGCACACAAACTAATTTACTAGCATTTGGTTTAACTGTTCTAAAAGAATTATCAAAAAGCATTCACTAAGTTGTAACACCAACATAGTGATAGAGATCAAATTGGTATATACTAGCAAATAAAGTTTGATCATCTATTACGCTTGTTGATATGCGTCAAGTTTTCGTGTAATAATATTATTAGAGACGAAAAAAAATTTAAATATTTTACTAACCATATGCGTTCACATATAAAGGTACAAGCTAAATACCAAAAAAAAAAAAAAGAAAGTCCTTGAAAGATTTTTAAAGGTTCGAAATCTAAAGTTACTGCATTTGCAAACGACCTTCTTTATACTACTACGCAAAAGCAAAAAGCGATCTGTTAAAGACGGCTATTTATCAACAAGATCATGAAAATCTTTACCGGATGCCAACTAATTACTAATTAAAGCTGCATGCTTTATGCATGTGAATTTTTTTGGTTAGTATTTATTGTTGATTTAATGCGGGAGCTGATGATAAAGATATCAAGAGTCTTTTTCGATAAACCTTAACTTTAATATTAGGTGATAGCTCTAAATGATACTTACATAATATACATGGTACAAGTGCTACCGTAGTTTATAAGTGATTCAATAACTCACCACATGTAAGGCTTTGAAACCAATAACAAGTGCATTATTGAGGGAATGCGCGTTTAATGTACCACAGATATATATTTAATGATTACAGAAGCACGATTGAGTCGCGAGGTACGAAAAAACAGGTTTTTGGTTTCATTTTTCAATTTTGTTTTATTTTTTCTTTTTGAAAAAAATCAATAAGCGAACGCACTAAATGTAACACTCATGCAAGTTGTGCACTCTTTTACACATGCTGAAATGATTTTAACAAGTTTCTCGATGATGAAACGTTATAATTTTGATTTACTTCTATTTTGGGTAAGTCTTGACAAGCATACAAATGATTTGAAAGGACTATTTATACGTACTTAACCTTTTGGATGTACGGTAGGGTTTATTTCGCGTCGATTATGTTTTAAAGTTAATCTGCCAAGAAATAATTAACATTATTGGATAGACTAATTAATTTTGGTGTATTTGCATGATTACCTAATATTAATATAACTTATAAACGATTTAAATTCAGAGAAGAGCGACGAACGCCAATGTATTGATAACTGCATCGATTATACTTATAGTTTTACCTTTACAAGCATGTGAGCATCACACGTATATAACTAAAATTGTCCCACTGAAAATTTTCACATCTCGAAAAGTTATGTGATAAATGTATAAATTAACAGAAATTACGATGTGACGTTTCTCATTTATCATCAATAATAAAGATATAACAGACGAAAAAAATTATCACAATATACCAGATTATACATTATGTTTAGTACCGAATTTTCATATCACATGGTAAATTCCTCATCGCTGGATAAAATTACTCCATACTTGATGAAAAGTGTTATTCAAGATCAAGTACTGTTTAAGTAGCACTTTGGATATAAACAATATTAGAGAGAAAAAAAAAAAAATACATAAATAATATATGTATAAATGAAAAAGACACGTTAATTTAAAAAAAGTAAATGAATCATTGATTAATTTATGATCATCGTAAGGAATGCACGTTTTGAGAAGTCACTAACACGAAACTTCTAATAAGAAAAAAAAAGATTGATACACTAATATTCATTGCGGATCCGTATAACATAAAATCAAATTAAGGTTAAATTAAGGTTGAAATTTAAGATTAAGTGACAATAAAAATTTTTTTTTGATCACAAAAAGCGAAATATAAACAAATCTTATTAAGTTTATATTTGATTTTGCAATTTTAATTAATTATTGTGCGTTTAATATACTATTTAAATAAATATACATTGTATATTTATTTAAGAACGAATCTAATTGTAACTTGTAGTTACATGCTTATTTGCGACATCTTACTTAGTACAGCCAATAAAATTAAATCCAACTCTAACTACTATTGGCTAACAACAACAGAGGTGTTACATATAATGGCTGTTACGAATATATGTATTTTCATTTAATATTAATGAATATTGCCTTCATATATAGAAATTAATAATGCATCATTATTAATTATAATGTATTAAATAATTACAGTATATGCTTATAAAATATTAAAAATATTTATTGCTATTTTAGATACAACACAATTTTTTTTAAATAATATTTGTTGTTTATAACCTTTATTATTTAATTTATATTACAGTATTTAATATATATATTATTTTATAATTATTATTTGAAATTTTTAAATAATCTTTTTATAGTTAAATTTTAATATAATTACTAGTAGAGTTACAAATCGAAAATCGCAACTAATCGAAAAGTTGACAACTAATCGATTGAAAAATTTTTGCCAACTTATATTAAAATCGAATAAAAATCGAATAATCGAAAAGTTGACAACTAATCGATTGCAAAAATTTTGACAATTTGTATCACTAATTACTAGCTTAAAAAAAAAAAAAATCAATAATTATAAGAAATTGTAACTTTAAATTTATATAGTTTAAATAGTTAAACCCAAAAAATAATATAATTATAAGATTGTATATAGTAATTTTGCCCGGAGCTAAATACAAATTAAACATACTTCTGTTATCCAAAAAAGAGTATGACAAACTATACCAACCAGTGATAAAAGTAGCAAAATAGAAGGCAGAAATAGCCTCAACTATATTCAATACAATTTTAATATATAAAAATATATAGAGACTAAAATTATTCCGACAAAGACATATAAAATATATGATCTCTAAATAGCTAATAAGACTAAATAACCTAAATCTAATAAAAGATCTTATAAGAATATATATTTAAAAGCACAACTTATACTAAAAGCCAATATACC